CCTTCTTCCCTTCCCTCTCTTTCTTTCTTTCTTTCTCTTTCTTTCCCTCTTTCCTTCTCTTTTTATCCCCTCTTTCCTTCCTTCCTTCCTTCTCTTTCTTTCCCTCTTTCCTTCCCTCTTTCCTCTTTCTGTGGCCCAACTCTAGTGAGAAGGGGTTTAAACTTTAAACAACAAGAGGATTATCCAAAGGCCTCTTAGCAGCATACAGGCCAAGCAGCAAGCAAGGCCCCACCTTGGCTCTATGAGTGGTCTTGTGTGCAATATTCCTTGTCAGACACAGGAATTGCCATTTGTTAGATGCAAAGATGAAGTGAAACATTTTGCAGCAATCTCATTCTAGACATACCACATTGTCTGTCACATCAGCACTTCTAAATGTCTTAATCCATATTCAGAAATTTTAGAATCTGCTCCTGAGTTTTAGCACATTCTTAATTATACACTTTGCTGACGTAAATTAACTTCCCTGACTGAGTGTCTGGGCTGCAGCAGCGGGAAGAAAATGTCTCATTTAATTTTAGTTTAAGTGCCTGATGTAAACCAAGACTATAATGTAAAACTGAGCAAGCTAAAATGCCAGAGTGGAGGGGCAGGGGTCTGCTGAGCTGCCATTCACAGTGAAAACTGCATATGAGCCAATGACCTCTCACAGGCAATCCACAACTCCATTCTTCCTCTTTTCACCTGCCTCTGACCCACCCATTCACACTCCAGATTTCCTGCAGTTCATTTCTCAGGAGATAGATGACAAATTCACTTTGGGGGAATAGGGATCATTGTGTTCCTCAACAGAGAAATAAAAGACATATTTGCAAATTAAGGGGGGGGCCCTCAAAGGAAATCATAGGTTTTGTAGGTACTTCTAACATTCCGTATTCAAGGGGGGGAAATGTTCCCAAACTACTGATGCAACCTTTATGCAACCTGAGTGGGGGGAAGGATCACCTGATCTGTCCAGAGACAGGAGCCATTATAGCACCAGCACTGAATGGAGAAGGCAAGATACATTTGGAATGGGCACAGCACCTAAAAGTAGAAGGTGCATTTAAAATTGCTTATTTCTCACCCTATTCAGTATCACCCTATTCAGTACCCACGGTGGATCCATTGAGGAACAGTTGAAAGCTCTGGCAGACATCAGGCATTATAGCCTTATCTCAGAGAGCAGCCTCACTGCCAGGAGCCTCAAGCTTCATTCCCAGGTCTTTCCTCCTTGAAAAGTACTGAGACTTACTAGTGATTTCAGCTCTCATACTTTATTTCAGCTCAGAACAAGACGAGAGTACCCAGCTCGCAGGCTGGTTTATATGTGCACAACCCCGCACCCCAAACACACCCACACACAAGTGATTGGCTATTTACAGTGGCCGAGAGTTCCATAGGCTCTCAGCCGGGAGCCTAGCCTGCCGATAGGTGCCGGCTAGGATCCGCTTGTCCCATTGTTACTGCGAGCGAAGCTCGTTCGCTTCGCATGACCACATTGTGAAATGGCCGCGCATGCGGTCTGAGATGGGTACATTACACTCCTACTGCCAGAGACAAAAAAGCAGCAGCAGTTGGAGCCATATGTTGTGTGTGTGTGTGTGTGTTTGTGTGTGTGTGTGCGTGTGCGCATATGCCAAAGAAAGGGCTTGCTGCCTCATCCAAACTGAGGTTGTCGTGCTTTCCCTTCTCCCTTGCTTGTGTCTGATGCAGGACAATTAGGCTGCGGTCACACACGCCAGTTGAAGTGGAGGGGAAGTGAGGCTATTTCCTCCGGAGGAATTTGACACGCAGATGCAAGATCACACAGCCCTTTGAAGCTGCGGGCACAGCCCATCATTGTGTGATCAGACACAACTGTGGGTGAGTTGGGAGTTTTTTTGCCCTTTGTTTCCCTTGTGCATAAACGAGGATTCGCACCTCTGCACTGAGGGCCCCCTATGGAGTGTGGGGATAAGCAATGATGTGCATACTGTGAAGGGGGGGGGGAAGTGGCACAGAGTCGGGATGGACAGACCATCCTGACGGCATGAGAGCCTGCTTAAGCGATCGACAGAGGAAAGTCCGTCTATGGCCCGTAGCAACCTCTTACTATTGGACTTTCCCTGGTGTCTTTTAACTCTGCTTCCGTGGCGGAGCAGCACGGGTTGCTGACAACTGCAGGCCTCTTCCCAGATGTTGCTGTCTGATCACTCCCTTTAGATCCATCAGACATTTGCACCTATGTTGGATCTAAAGGAGCATGTGATCGCAGCCTTAGGAGCCATGAGTGGCTCTGTCTGCGGGATAGTGCTAAACCCCAACTACAAAAGCAGAACTGATGTGTTCCACATCACCATTCCCCACACTTCAACAGCCAGACTTGGTCCTTTCCCACTGTACTTGGTTATGTCAGGATTGAGGGTCCCATTTCCCGAAGTAAGATAAGCCCTTAAAGGATAGTATATACAGTCTCTGTCAGCTGTCTATAAGAAACCCTGCACATCCCTACTATGCAACTGCATGAGGGGAGAGAAGTATGCTTGCTAGGTCCCTGCAGCTTTGGCAGCCTACAGAACTAAAGGCACCAAAGAACAAGGGCAAAACTAAGGTGGTGCAGGAAAATGTACAGTTGGTTCTGTTTCAGAAGGCTATCCACTAGCTTGTCTCTGCCACCAACATACTGCTGCAATGCTTGGGAGCACTGCCATTGCCACCATCACCATCGGTGAAATCCATCAATCAGGCACCTGGCAAGATGACAAGAATGACAACCGAGTAGGTGAGTCAGCTCTGGTGTGTCATCCAAACGGAATAATTGGTTTTCACCCAACCTAAAGTTTCTTCCTGTTGTCTGAGCTGGACATTGGTGCCAGCAGAGTACTCACTCATCTAAGCCGATGCCCTCCAGGTCTGCCTGCCTTAGCTGCCTGGAATGAAATGCAATATTTTGGCAGCACTGTAATAGTGATAGTAAAGATACATAAGAACATAAGTACAGCCTGCAGTGTGATACAGTATACTGTTTCACATAATATACTATTTACTATACTAATAAACTATTTACTATATACTATTTCACACAGTGGCCAACCAGTTGCTATGGGGATTCAAAAGGAACAGGGCGTAGAGGACGAGGCTCTCCCCTGCTGTTGGTACCGGAAGGTCTGTGAATAGTACATGGACCTCTCAGCCCACACTGCTTACCTGTACTGGGCCTGGAAGTGGTTCTGTACAAAACTCTGACCCTTGAGAGGCTGGATAGCTGGCTGGGCGCTCCTGCTGCTACTGCTCTCCTCCTGTCCAGGTGGAGGCTGAGGGGAAAACAGAGGCAGAGGCTGAGTTGTAGCTGCTGAGACACCTCAGTGCAAACCTAGACGAGGGCACCTAGACGAGTCTACTCATCATAATGGACTCCATTTCAAAATCCTGGCTGTACCCTTCCCTTCCCTGCTCAACACCATTTCCCTCACTTTTCACACTTCCCACTGACTTTCAGTAGCAAAACAGTTGCTAAAAGAGGGAGTGCAGTGTTGGCTAGGTGACGATGTTATAACTTGACAGTTTGGAAATTAAGAATTCGGGAGGTGTGTTTTTGTATTTCAGTTTTCACAAATATGTCCTGTTCTATACAGTAACTAAGATAAGAGACACCTGTTCAAAAGCCGACCTGCCAGTTTCAGAGTCTCTTTTTTTGTAAATCAGAAGGCTGGGGCAGGGACGAAACACTCTGGTCAGAAAACGGAAGAGATTTACTGTACATGGTAAGGCATCAAAGGAACAAAAGAATCAAATAAAGCCGGCCTATTACTCTCCCTAGAGAGCAGGAAGAAAGTGCTACCCCAGAGCCCTCTTCTCAGGTGGAGAATCCATCGCATAGCTGAGAGTGGAATCAACCCTGGCCACTTGCGTCCAGGACTCATTCATGTTACCACCATTGTGTAGTTAAAACTACCCTCAAACTGCTTCAGTATGTATTTATTTTGGTATTTCTATTCCACTGTTTTCCCCACTGGAGACTCAAAAGTGGCTTACAAAGGTACAGAAAACATAATTTAGACAAACGGAAAAACCCCAGCAACTACAGCCTAACACCTACTTTGGCCCTGGATCCAATGAGCCAGACCACCAGGGCCATAGGATGCAAACTACGGCTCAGACCCAGTGACCAAATGTTCTTGGGCCCATGAGAAAGGCTCTGGGTATGCTCAGGCTAAATACCTGCAACTGAGGAGGGACAGAAGCCCAGCCCAGATCCCATACTGCTGGCACAAAGATGTTCCCAACCTTCCTCCCCTGGTAGCAAAGTTCCACACTGTAGTAATAATGTATGCAAGTTACATCTCCGCCTGGAAGTAACCACACAATCTATGTGGCAGCCCTTAGTAAGTGATAACTGCGGTGTCACGGAGCTCTGACCAGGCAAGAGCAGTTTTCCCAGCAGCAACAGCTGTGCCACACCATAATGGTAACATCTGAATTGGGCTGCAGCAGCCTCACAGATCAGGGGGCTATGCTGGCCACACACACCCTCTCCGCCGCCATTAAGACAAACAAGATGAGCGTTTTAATGAATTTTGCAAAGGTAGCAGGATGGATGAAAAAAAGATTTGGGGCATCGTTAATCATACCATTTGCCCTGTCTAGAAAAGCGGTTTCCCTTTATAAAAGCAAAGGAGTGGATGCCTCCTGATACGAGAGAAAGAACAATGGATTTTAAAAGTTATGACTCGCTGGCTTTACCAAGCGAGCAGTTTTTCTCCAGCCTTAAATGGAGACTACTTCTGAACATGGCTGCATGGTGGTTTGTAAAGTAATTCAAATGTTCACAAAATTCTATGCAAAACTTCTTTGTCAAAACAGAATGCACTTTTTCTCCTACACTGGTATAAACCCATATGGGGAAAAGCCATACAAGAATCAGTCTTTATTCAGCAGTTAAATTTGTTGTTGTTGTTGTTTTGTTTTTGCTTTTAGGCCTGCATTCTTATATGGGCGCAGGTTCTACATTCTGATGCAGGCCCAATGTAAATATTACAATGGCTATGGACAAATCACTTTTATGTAGAAGCATTCCACATGGCATTTTCACTAAAATGCTTGCATGCAGTGGTCTATGAAAGTATAACATTGGCATGACAACTATCACCGGCCAAAATGGTTGTTCCACTAGCATGCTAAATGAGTATTCATAGGTTGGACTTTACCTCAGTTAGTGCTTTGCCAGCAGTTGCAATAACATTCAAATTCTTTTCTATATGTACACCCAGAGCCGGCATCAGGTTTTAGTAAGTCTCCAAGTGCCTCAAAATACTCAAGACACCACAATACCACCGAAATACTGTATTCTGAACCACTGGAAACAGCTCCCCCCCCCCCATCTGTCCTCCACTCCCACAAAAACTAAGTGAGGAAGGAAGTATTTGTGTAAAACTTTCCTGAGAGGGAAAGCATGTGTGGGAGTCTTCAAGGAAAATAGCTTTGAGGGCTTGGGACTAGAGAGTGTTTGAGGGCTGGTGTGTGATTTGTGCAGTTCTACATATGGGTTCTGCTCTGGTGCAGAAGGAAACTCCAGAAAGTTCTTAAGCTCTAACCCAAACTATATCTCCTTCAAGAAGAAGAATCACAGCCTCGAATACCAGCACACCAGCATCATTTCCAATTTAAAAAGATCTCAAGTGGCAGGCCTGGGTAAGATCTTTGTGTGAGACATGGGCTCAGGAAGCCAGTCAGAACACAAATGACCTACCTCAGCGTAAGGCAGCCTTTTGTGTTTGTTGGGGAGAAGTTATTTTACAGTCCGAGCAGATAAGATTCTGTACAAGGAGGATGTCTCTTTGCATGTCACAATGCAGTGTGTGCGTTTATACAAAGAAAGAAGGAAATAGCCAGCATTCATGTGCATTTTAATTGGAAGAGTACGACAGAACTGGACAAGGAACAAGGTAATTAATTAGTTTGTTTCAGACAATGGAAGCTCTGTGAGTACTATGAAAGTGCTTCAGACAGCCGGCACAGGGCTGTGCGGTGGAACGGGCTGTTACACAAACCAGAGTTATGAAAAGACCATGGAAGCCGTGCATAGAAGCAAGACAAAAGTGATTCCCTCCTCCTGCCACATTGTTCTTATAGTAAGTTTGTTAGCAGCCAAGCACAGGTAGGGAATGGAATCAGGTAAATAAATATGGGTTCTTGGTTTCTTTGCGCAAAGTAATGCACTGAGGCAAAATCATCACCATCACCATCATCTTTTCCCCCAGCCTTGCTTGCAGTCTTGAGCAGAAAATGGAGGAAGTGCTTCTTAATCCTTTCCTTTCTAGATCTTTTCCCACTCCAAATCATGCTGTTCTAGATCTTTACCCCCGCCAAATCATGCTGGTCCTCTATTCAAGAGATCAGCCTCTCTGCTTTTTAAACAAACAGGCAGAAATATATACACAGGACTATGTGTCACATGTAATTTCAACCTGACTTGCTGATATACAAACCCACAAACCCAGAACACCTAAAATTCAATTTTCTCCCAGGCCAAGTTCCCTTTTCGACCACTGCAAGGACATTGCCTGCAACAAAGAATGACCTTTCCATTCAAGGGGACCTAAAATGGTATGAAAAAAAATGTGCTGCCTGGTTATCGAAAGCGACGATATTAACAGCAACAATATGAACATCAACAGAAAGTATCTAAGCAGCAAAGACCTAAAATGGTATGAAAATAAATGTGCTGCCTGGTTATTGAAAGCAATGATATTAACAGCAACAATGTGGACATCAACAGAAAGTATCTAAGCAGCAAAAACTGCTCCATTCTTTGCTAAAGATATCAGCTGCCACAGTTTTTGCAGCAGAAGTCCCTAGACATTGTGTACTTTTACATTATCAAAACATAACTCGGGGTTTGGGGCTTCAGCAGCTCTGTAGATATCCTGTGAAAAAAGAGAACCTATTCCCCATATCATTATCAGAATTCTCAGGAAGAGAATCTCTCTCCATCCTTCAGGTGATTTGATTGAATTTTCTTATTTGCACGAGTGACTGTGGACTGTGCTAAACATTCTATAACTATGTATGTATTCGACTTCCTCTTTACTTTTTTTAAAATTAAAGCAGCCTCAGGAGACTGTGAATTTAATTGGAGGAGCAGCTGTGTGTGAGTGTGAGTGTGTGTGTGTGTGTGTGTGTGAGAGAGAGAGAGAGAGAGAGAGAGAGAGAGAGAGAGAGAGAGAGAGAGAGAATACTCACTTCTTTCTTTCCCTGTGGACTATTTTCCTACTCAAGACCATCCTCTCCAAATTGCTTTTCCCTGGGAGAGGAAAGTGTCAGTGCTCATATCTTTATTCCCACAGAGGGAAAAGGCATCTGGAGGGTGATTTGGAAAACAGCCAGCAGGGAAAGGTTTAAGTACTACAAGCCACTATTCCTCTGTGACCCTTGGCAGCCTCCCAAGGATGCTCTTAATTTTTCTTTTTTATAGAAAACTCAGTCTGTGTGCATCATCCCATTTGGCCTTGTGAAGGTGTGGAAACACTGCTGCCCTGATTATGCCCAGGATGGCAGTCTGGTACTAGTGTACAGAGCAAAATATTCTATTTTGCAGGAAAATGCAAAAAGAAGCTGTGCCAGTACAGAGCACACAACTGTTGCAAAACTAGCTGATACTGAGTTGGAAGCCTATCAGTTCCTCAGAGAAAAGGTCAGTAGTGATGGACTACTGTCTCTAAGAAGTCAGAGGAGGTGAATTGCTTCCTCATTTGGGTATTTGGTCTTTTTAATGTTTTGGTTTCCAACCTATCAACTTTCCCCCAGCTTTCCTGTGATCTTTCCTGAACCTTCTCTACTGTGATCTTTTAGGAAAGATCTCAGAAAAGTAAAGATTGTTGTCATGTAGGCAGGATAGTTGAGACATTTCCTCGTCTTGCACACATCAGTGCCATTTTCCCTGCCCATTGGCCATGGCCCCCTACATAACACTGTTTTAAAAATCCATAATTTACAGATTACTATAGCAATTTAGTATCCGTCTAGTGGCCCTCTGAATTCCCAGCTTTCATTTTTAAAAGAAAGTAAAGTCTCTAGACCTTTTCATTGTGATGCTATGCCTGTATCTCCAAGTGAAAAGAACCAGGGACTTACTTTTTAAAAATTAAAGGTGAGATTTCAGAGGACCTAAAAGAAAGATTATTATAATGCTATATTGATACATTAATTGCTATTTTTAAAAAATAAACAAAAAAGCCCCCAGTAGCGCAGTAGCCTGAAATCTCCCTAGAAGCTAAAATGACTAAGCTGAGGCTATCGAATGTTGGTTACATTT